GGTATCTTCAATTCCAGCCCCATTAATGTTGCCTGTATCATCACCATTTGTAGGAGAAAAGAAACTGGTTCTGTGCAGTTTCTTCCCTGTTACTCTGTCACTTTTCAGAATGTTTTATATATTTGTGTGCTTGTGCTATGCTTGATAGTTTGTGGGGAGTTCCTGACTCTGTGACTGAGAATTGAAAGCTAGGTAAAAGTAAAAGAATTTTTTTTTTTAAAAAAAAGTACTTCTTGTTTTGTAATAGAACAAAACTATGTTTCCTATATATGTTTATTAATTTACTTCTGAAAAAAATATCAACTGGCCAATGCATCACTCAATGAATGAATTCCTTTTTCAGACAGACTGTCAAAGTGCAATGCAGAGAAAGGACTTGTTGAATTGCATTATGAAGAGAATGTACGTAACTAGTTCAGACAGTCTGTTATGTTCAGCTTGTCTTTCTACATAGGTCATATATTACATCAAACCAGAGACTATGTATTGTGTCTATTTGTACCACCCCCTATAGTTCATGTTATTGTACACCATGAATATCAGGGTCCGGTTAAACAAACACCTGATAATTAATTCTATTCAGGAGAACAACTCAATGCATAGATTAAATACAGATCTAATTTAGAAAGTGTGCCCCTGAGATTCTCAGACTGGATTCTCTGTTCAGCATCTCTATACAACCTGTGCTTAGCCCAGACTTTTTGGGGGGATCATCTAGAAGTTATTGTTTTCTTTCTAATTCTAATCTAATGACTTGTCATAACATGTGTCCAGAAATTATTTTCGAATGAATGATTACTGACTGGATAATCTGAGTTGATATATCTCCTCTGGCCTTAGAAACAGTTTCTTCTGTTCCTCAGGAAGTGGTGATACAAATAAACTTTTTTCCTCTGAATGGCCATTCTTTGGCTGGACACAGAATGTCACTGAACAACAATATATCAAAGGGAAGCCAACCTCTGAGTGTTGTGGAGGTGAGTAACAGAGATAAAAATTCAATGAGTCAGGAAACCAGTAAGGGTAGTTGTAGTCCAGGGCACCAGTAGGAAGTTAAAATGTAATATGCAATTCATTCTGTGCTTCACTGGAAAATATATTATAAGATTTCTGAGGTCAGAAACCAAAATCCAAACTTAGCCAGCCTAGAAAAAATAAGTGAGAATGTTCAGATAAAAGGAAAATATTCTCCCATAAGAACTGATTTGTAAGGAGTACAAGAACTCCTTTCCTGGAGTTTGTAGGCTAAAAATTGTTAAAAATACCTATTTTAACTCACATTAATAGTTTATAATACCACTGAAGTAAGATAAAATGGGCAGAATTATTTCTCCTGAATAAAAACCTGTAGACCTTGGCTAGAATCTTTCTACATCAGGTTGGGTATTTTTAACAATTCACAGTTGTGACTTGGGATTTTGGAACAAGGACTTGATAATAACTATCATTAGGCACTTCTTTTACCTATCCACTACTACCACAGTTCTCCCTGCCTTATCATTTTCTTCATCATCATTCAATATAAATTAGCCCAATGCTGTAAGTATATATTGAGCACTTGTCATAAATAAGGCATTGTGAGAAGTGCAAAAGAAGATGGTCAGTCTTCATCAGTGAAGATTTTATATTCAAATGCACAGTTTATTTCAATAGCTTAATAAGGTATTTGCCAAAATAAAACCATTTTTCAAAACATTATGGGTGTGCTTCTGCTTCTGGCCATGATAGCATAACTAGTCTAGACTAGTCTCTCCAGCATAATTAACTGTAAGACAGGACAAAGTATGTGAAGAAATTGCTTTCAGGCAGTGAATAGCAGTTAATACAGCTCACAGGTGAGCCACATAATCACTCAGCTCTCTGCCTGGGAAAATTTCCTTGCTGTGGCCCAAGCAGAAGACCACAGCAGTCTCACTGATCTAACAAAATAAAAATCATAGTAAATTTAGGGCAGCCGAGGCCACTAGAAGCCGTGGGATAGGGTATCAGGGAGGCCAGAGTTGTGCAGAGGGGACTTCAGAAGTATATTAATGGAGGGATCTGTGAGCTATGACAGGTAGCTAGACTGTACATGTGAAGGGCAACACTATTTGAGACTTACCAGAGAGAAGCTGTTACAGGATTGAAAGGAAACAAATACCAGAGGTGCATCAAGCTTAAAGAAGAGCAGCACCAGGACAGTGTGCTCTCTGCCCTACTAAAGCAGAGAAATCTCATTAACACCTCATAAACACCACTGCCACCCAGTGGAGACACCCAAAGACCAAGCTTTAAGAGTAAGGACCACAAATGTAAGTAAAACCTACTCTAAATCTGGCTTAACAACCTAAACTAAGCCCTGGCAATGTCCACAAGGAAGAGAGAAAGTGGAGATTGAGTCCCTTCGAGTTATATAGACTTGCAAAACACCTTGAACTTTCCACAGATCAATACCATCAGAGCATAAAACCAAGCCTACCCAAATTCAAATGATTCTCCTTTTAGCACCTGCTACAAAAAAAAAGCCAACATTCTTCTGAAGAAAATACCCAGAATGTCTACAATAACTTGAATTCAATGAAATATACTAATCATACAAAAGCATGACAAAATATTATCAATATTCAAGAAAAAAAGAAATCAATAATAATTGAATCTGATATGACCTAAGTGTAGGAATGTGCAGACAAAGATTTTACAAGAATTGTTTACAAATAGATTCAAAACATTAAAGGGAAATACATTCAAAGGATTAAATAGATTCAAAACATTAAAGGGAAATACATTCAAAGGATTAAATAGATTCAAAACACTAAAGGGAAATACATTCAAAGAACTAAATCACTGTAGGCATTAATCATCACCTTTCCTCAATTGATGATTAAAATATTAGGGAAAATGTTAATTAGAAACTGAGTAATAGATAGATCTGGCTGATACCACTTCAACTCACTGGTCAATAATATAAATAGCATCTCTAAGAGTGGGACAACCAAATATCATGTGTCTCAGGACATGATTCAATAAAAATAACATAGCAACTTAAGTCAATGGCATGACAAAAAAGTGGGGTCTGCTATGTTATAAAGGGACTGGAAAGACAATAACGAAATGCATTGTTTGAACCTTGTTTAGATCTTAATTTTAAGAAATTACTTAAAGATCAATGGAGAAATTTGTACATGGCTTGTGTATTAGATGATATAAAGGAAATACTGATGATTGTGCTAAGTATCATAATGATATGGTGGGCATGGTTTTTTAAAATGTCTTTATCAGTCACAGATCATATTAAATACTTACATGTGGAGTATGTACAAACACAACTTACACAACATAATACTTACACAACATCTGGAATTTGCCCTAATATTTTCCATGAAAACAAACAAGGAACTGTAGCTAATTAAAATAAGATTAGCAAAATGTTGATGTTGAAGCTGGGTGATGGCTGGGTGAAGCTGGGCACATGGGGGTTCACTATGCTCTTCTCTTTTGTGTATGTTTGAAATGTTCTACAAGAAAAGAAGTTTAAAAGTAAAAGGAATTCAGCTTTAGATTTTTAAAAACACATATCCTTAAATCTTGCAATTTAAGTGCTAAAAGCTTATTACAGGAAAATCCAGATGTAAACAATGTACAGTAAAAGAACAGAATACAATTAAAAATTCCCAAAATAGAATAACAAATCATGTTCAGCTACGCAATGAAGCCCAGAAGAATAAAGAAATAGATGCTTATTAATAGAGTTGCTCGTGACACAGTGTTCAGTGAAAAACCAGATTACAAACTCCATGATCCAACTTGTATGTATAAATATAAATGCACATAGAAATAAATTTTAAAATGTCATACAACAATAATATAAAAAACAATATTTCTAGATTTATTTTGGTACTGCTGTTTTGTGTATCTATTTTTAAATATTTATGGCATATGTAATAAAGAACTAATCAAAGTTTAAATAATTTTTTAAACTAGCACTTAAAAATTGTTGCCTAAGGACATGAACAACACTTTTCGAAAGAAGATATACAGGTAACCAACAGCATATGAAAGAAAGCTCAACATCACTGATCACTAGAAAAATGCAAATCAAAACCACAATGAGATACAATCTCACACCAGTTAGAACGCCTATTACTACAAAGTCAAAAAATAACAGATGCTGGCAAGGTTGTGCAGAAAAAGGAATGTTTATACACTGTTGGTGGGAATGTAAATTGGTTTAGACATTGTGGAAGACAGTGTGGCAGTTCCTCAAAGACCAAAAACAGAAATACCATTCCACCCAGCAATCCCATTACTTGGTATACACCCAAAGGAATATAAATTATTCTATTATAAAGACACATGCACATGTATGTTCATTGCAGCACTATTCACAACAGCAATGACATTGAATCAACCTAAACGCCATCAATGATAGACTGAATAAAGAAGGTGTGGTCCATATACACCATTGAATGCTATGCAGCCATAAAAAATAGATCATGTCCTTTGTAGGGACATGGATGGAATTGGAGGCTACTATCCTTAGCAAACTAACACAGGAACAGACAATCAAATACTGTATGTCCTCACTCATAAGTGGGAGCTAAATTATGAAAACATATAGATGCATAGAGGGGAACAACACACACCGGGTCCTACTTGAGGGTGGAGGGTGGGAGGAGGGAGAAAATCAGGAGACTAATGGGTACTAGGCCTAATACCTGGGTGATGAAATAATCTGTACAACAAACCCCCATAGCACAAGTTTACCTGTGTAAAAAATCCGGCACACATACCCCTGAACTTAAAATAAAAGTTTAAAAAATTGTTGCCCTATCATTTTCATTTTTAGTATAACTACAGAAGAGTTCAAAGAGAATGATCGAATAAGCCAAGTTACTCCTCTCCAGCCCATCCTGGAAGAATTCCCAATGGAGGTGTCTGAAGTCCAAAATGAAATCTTCTTCATTACTCTCCTTCAATCAAGTGTTTGTTTGATACAGAGAATCTTCCGAAGTGCCTGATGTACCGCCTTGTTCCTCAGGGTATAGATCACAGGATTGAAGAGAGGGGTGACCACAGTGTAGAGCAGAGAGAAGACCTTGGAGAGGTGCTGGGAGTGGACAGCAGAGGGTGCAACGTATGAGATCATGAGCGTTCCATAGAATGTGGTCACTACAGCTAGGTGGGAGGAGCATGTGGAGAAAGCCTTTCTCCTGCTTGCCCCAGCAGGACCTCTCAGCACTGCCACCACAATTCTGCCATAAGATGTCAGAATCAGTCCAAAGGGAATAGTGAGGCAGAACACAGACAGAATGAGAGTTGTCACCTGAGCCACTCTGGGATCCGAGCAAGCCAGGCCCACTAAAGGCATAAAGTCACAGTAAAACTGGTCAATGTGGTTGGGGCCACAGAACCTCAGCTGGGCCACCAGGGCCACAACCAGTCCATCTACCATAAATCCAGAGAGCCAGGTTGTGACCACCAACCCCATGCACTGTCTGGGCCCCATCAGGAGTGGGTAGTGGAGTGGGTAGCAAATTGCCAGGTAGCGATCATATGCCATGACAGCTAACAGTAAGCATTCAGCTGTGGCTAGAGAGCCAAAGATAAAGAACTGCAGCAAGCAACCAGCCACAGAGATGGTTGCTTCTTGCAGTAAGCTCTCCAGCATTTTTGGCATCACTGCGGATGTGTAGAGAATCTCTAGGAAGGACAGATTAACCAAAAATATATACATGGGTTTGTGGAGCCTCTGGGAGCTAACCACTGCTACAATAATCAGTATATTCCCTATGATGATGAAGACATAGACAGCAGTGAATACAATAAAGAACAAGAAATGCAGCTCAGGGATGTCATAGAAGCCAAGGAGGACAAATTCAGTAATAGTTTCGTTTCCTGTGGGGACAATTTCCATGTCGATCATCCAAGTTTCTGCTTGGCAATAATTGGGGGAGAAATTTTAGCGTGTCTCCGTATCTTCTATACCAAGCCTAAGGTTATTAGAGCTAAAACAAAACAAAGCAAAAAAGACAAAAATGAGTCTCTAAAACAAGAATCGCTCACACAAGTCTTCAACTATCCCCCTTCTTAGTTGTCATTCCTTCCCCAACTCTCACCTTCCCTGCCTTCCTTAATTGTGCGTATTCTTTAAGGCTCAAAAGAATTTATCCAAATTCATAATTTTAGTCTTTCAAAGACCTTTACCCCATTAATTCAATCTACTACCTCTATCACATAATCAGCTCTATTATTCTTATCTGTATAGTCAGCCACAGCCTTCTTCTTGTGCACCAGTGTAATATTCTCCAAATGTGTGATAGAGAGACATGGCCCACAACCACAAATTCTTTTATTTTCCTCAATCTCAACCAATTCCTCTGTGAGTGGTTTGAGAATTCTGTCTAATTCCCATGGTCACTATCTCATTCTTCTCATTATCTCAAGCCCCTTTTTAATTCCCCATCTCCCAATCAGTGATATCTTACCAACTGTTCCTTGGATAATTCTTATATATTCTCCACTTTTTGCCTTCCTTAAATAGTAATTTCTTCAAGTCATTCAGGAGGTGGTAGTGAAAATGTGGTAAATGGTAATAGAGAAGGAAGTCGGTGCTGTGGGAGCAGAGAAGGACCAAACCCAGGCTAGGGTTGTGGGGCAGAAGGTATGGGGTCAAGGTCAGGGAAGGCTTTCTGAAGATAGAAGCAAGTAGGCTAAGTTTTGAGGGCAAATTAAGAGTTGGCCAGGCAAAAGACAGGAAACCAGACCAGGCAGGGCAACCCTGGCAGGAAAGTATATGTAAAAGCAAAGAGTTGTAATTGAGCATGACACTTCTAAATATCTAAAAATGGCTCTGCTGCACCTGCTGGAAGTTTTTCATATGCTATTCAAACAATGTATGTTTATTAACTGAAGACAATGAGAGAGAATACAGGGAATGATTAGAAACAGTTGAGAATGGTAGAGGAAAAAAAGCAGATATATAAATAAATATTATAAATACATAATATTAGCAGAGTTACTTTCTAGGATATGGGATTAATAAAGATACATTATATTTATTATCACAAAAATGTAAGTTATCTTTAACACAAACAGTCTAGAACATCAGTTGCCTAAGAGGTGAAAAACTAGATGCCTCAGGGAGCACGGTGCTGGGAGCCTTCACAGCATACTGTTTTGTAGTTTTGCCTAAGATCAAATCTGCCTTTTGAATGGAATCCCATTTTCCATACCTCTGCTCATTGCTAATGTTAAACCCTCAAAGACCCAGCTTAAGACTCATCTCTACCAAGAATCCCCCTTGACTAATGGAGTCCTTTATTTCTCTCCCAATCATGTACTAAGGATCTGGTGTTCAGAAGATATTACATCTGTTTCTGAGGAAAGTGGGCCAAACAAAACTGGTTCATACTCTTAAGGAGCTTACACTGTTGTGTGACAGATGGACATATCAACAGAAAATTGCAACACACCAAAAGAGCGTTAATGAATTCAACCTGAAAGAAATAGTACTGGGAGGAAATGATGCTGAACTGACCAGTGATTGAAGTGGAAAATGGAAAGAATGGAGGTGAGGGAATTTCAGGTAAAAGGAAAACCATGAGCACACACTGAGGCAAGAAATAACATTGGCTATGAGGAGGAGAAAGAGGTAGCAGGGGGTAAGTAGCCAAGGGTAGCTCAAAAAATCCCCTCAATTCTGAAGGAGCATTAGGATTGGGGTGAAGAATGGGGGAAGATATGGAGAGAAAGGGGCCAGGATCAGAGTCTGGGGACCTTGCTTGTCACAAGAAGGAACTAGAGCTTCATTCTATAGGCAGCAAGGCCCATCTGAAGGCTTTTAAACAATAAGGTGGCATGTTTTAACCTAAATTTAAATAGTATTATAGAAGTTATATCCAAGGTAACAAGAGTGAAAGAAGGAATGGCCCCACCCATCTGATACTCGATGTGCAAATACATGCTGCCTTGAATTGATCATCAATTATCTTATGGTATGCACTTTCTCTTTCCCAAAAGACTAAAAGTTCATTTAGCACAGGATTTAAATTTTTATAACTGCCACTGTACCCAAAAGTCTTCAGAAAGATAAAATCTCAATTAATACTTAATGTTTAACACCATGTCTTCCTTAACCTGAACCCATATGAATTGATCAGAGAAGAATTCTGTTCTTCATAGACTACAAAATGCTACAGGTTCTGTTATTGCCCTCCAACTCCTGTCTCTAAAGCTATTCTCTTACCCTTTGCAGCCATCTGCATTTCCTTGTGAGTGAATTTGGCACTCCCTATGTGGGCCATCTTTAACTCTAGATTATTTTATCTGGTCCAAACTCAATCTGAGGCTTGGAGTCTTTCTATAGCATTCCTGTCCAGGAGAGAAGTGAGCATGTAAATCAGGCAAGAACACCTCTAATAATAAATAGCTTATGACCACTACCTCCCCTGGAAATCAAGACTATCATTGGATCATATTGACTCTTAGCAGTTTGTTCCTTTTATGAGCCAAGATTTGGCTTCCTGTAGTTTCCACTCATTTATCCTCCAGTTAATAAGTTTTTAAAAAATCTTTCATTTAGATGACAGCCTTTCAGCTGGTGGAAATCAGGAGGAAGTATAACAGAGAACAAGGTATTAAGGACAAACATAAGTTTCATGATTTTGTTATCAAACTGACATGTGTCCATTCCAATCCATTTATAATCTGTACCTATTCCAATCCATTCCATAAAAGAAACGATTTTATCATTCCTCTTATTCCAGTCATCCTAGAGATTCTATTTCCAGTAACGCAGACTGAGGACAAGAGAAATTTAGGGAAATCAATGGAAAGAAAGTTCTATTGACTTCTGAACATGAGAGGATAAAGAGGGCAGCAGTCAGAGGCCTGCATACCCAGGTGGCAATCTGTAGGCACCACAAAGGCTCCAGTCTTTGCAAATCCCAACCTTCCCACCCAATATGGGAAGAGAGAGAACACATTAAAATATCCTCAGGCATCATTTACTTTCAGTCCAGAGATGTGATTTGAAAATAACAGCCTAGATGGGAATGAAAGCAAAGAGTGAATTATAAATATTACGGGCATCTTAGGGTATTAAGTTGTTTGCAAATGAGGCCAGGTGAAAAATGTCTGCCTTCTATCCCCAAAGTGAATTCATAATTTAAATGATTGTATGTGTGGAGGGGAAAGGGAGTGTCATAGAGCTTACAAACAGTGTGTGGAAATATAGTTGATTTCCTCTCCATAACCAAAACGTTCTTTGGAGTGTTTAAAATTTCCCGCAAGTGAGAAGTATTTTCATACAAAAAAGAAACATCATCCTGGATTTTCAGAATACCACATTCCCAACTCTATTGTTCAAATAATGAGGGAGTGGGAAGAAAGAGGAAGTAAAGAGAAAGTAGTGGGATGTGAGGACTTAAATTACTAATCATCCGGGAAATACAAATTAAAACCACAATGAGATACCATCTTAAACCAGTCAGAATGACTACTGTTAAAAGTAAAAAACCGCCAGGCGCGGTGGCTCACGCCTGTAATCCCAGCACTTTGGGAGGCCGAGGTGGACGGATCACGAGGTCAAGAGATCAAGACCATCCTGGCTAACACGGTGAAACCCCGTCTCTACTAAAAATACAAAAAATTAGCGGGGCATGGTGGCAGACACCTGTAGTCCCAGCTACTCGGGAGGCTGAGGCAGGAGAAAGGCAGAGTTTGCAGTGAGCTGAGATGGCGCCACTGCACTCCAGCCTGGGCGACAGAGCGAGACTCCATCTCAAAAACAAACAAACAAAAAAAGTAAAAAACCAACAGATTTTAGTGAAGATGCTGAGAAATGAGAATGCTTATACACTGTTGGTGAAAATAAAAATTAGTACAACCTTTATGGAAAACATTGGAGATTTCTCAAATAACTAAAAATAGAACTACCATTCGATCCAATAATCTCACTACTGGGTATCTTCTCAATGGAAAAGAAATTATTATATCAAAAAGATATCTGCACTCATATGTTTATCACAGCACTACTCACAATAGCAAAGATATGGAATCGATCTAAGTGTCTATTAAGAGACGACTGGATAAAGAAAATGTGGCTTTTGTGTGTACATATACCATGGAATACTACTCAGCCATAAAAAAAAATGGAAGCATGTCTTTTGCAGCAACATGAATGGAGCTAGAGGCTATTATTTTAAGTGAAATATCTTAGAAACAGAAAGTCAAATATTGCATATTCTCACTTATAAGTGGGAGCTAAATAATGTGTGCACGTGAACACAGAATTCAGAATAATAGACATTGGAGACTTGGAAAGGTGAGGTGGGAAGAGGTGAGGATGAGAAATTACCTAATGGGTATAATACACACTATCTGGGTGATGGTTACACTAAAAGCCCAGACTTAACCACTACACAATATATTCATGTAACAAAACTGCACTTGTACCCCTAAATCTGTAAAAGTAGATATGAAAAGAAGAGAAATGGGAAAAACACAGCAACAGTAGGATATATGAGAGGCTGTTATTCCCTTAAAGACAGAGGGGAATCAGGGAATAAAGGAAGTTGATGAATTTAGAGTTGAAAACTCCAAGCAGTAGAGCTGAATTTGGAATTGGAAAATTCAAAAAACTGCAGGAAGAGTTTGAAATCAACATGAATTTCACCATACTAACTGGTAGAGAAGTGAGAATAGTACAAAATGCCTGTCTGTTGTCTAAAGAACAATCAGTCACACACTCAATTCTAAGTAAAAACCATAACCCTCATTCACCCCAGACTCTGAGATAGCATAGAGTCCTTAATTAAAACTAGCAATTCAAAGAATATTCCAGGAAAAACTAGTTTAAAATACATATACAAAACTGTACATTTTAATTCATCTTTAGGAATTAAAAAAAATTATTCTCATATATTTTGAAATGTCTGCTAAACAAGCCTGTTATCTTTATAAGCAGAAAACCAAAAAAAT